AAATGTCGTGACTATAATGCTCGTTTCCTTTGTTTTATTGATGCCGACAAGAAAAAATCCATTAAACTCTAATGATACAGAAATACAGATGACGATTCTTGCTTCAACATAAACGAAATGGTCGAAGGAAATCAGAATAAAAGAATGCAACCTATAGGCCTAAAAGGTAAGAGATAAGACACTCAATGTAAAAAAGTAAATATTATACACGCATATATCACAACAACAATTACTCCACTTATTTACCTGAAGATTGTCCGGTGGAGATTCCGATGGAGATTATAATGATAATAATACAAATATTTAAACGTTTTTGTATAGCGCATAACGCTTTATAGGAATAATTGCATGCCTCCATGGGCCTTACATAAAGAGTGGAAATGGGTTCATTATTGTGAGATCTTTTAAAGTGCTAAATAGATATGTTTTCAAATTACTTCTGAACTTTGTTTCTATATTTCCAAGGTATTCCGGTAAGGTTTTTCCATAAAACTGGGGCGCATACGAAAATGACTTTTCCCCAAAAGATTTTGTCACAGTTTGTGGGACACAACTTATAGACTTTTTTTACAGGAACGCACCATTCTTTCTTGGTTTATAATGCATTAAAAATTCAATGAGACATAATTATGATGGAGCAAACTGATGGAAAAATTGATAAGTTGATAAAAGTACTTTAAACTTGATATGGGACTGGATAGGTATAGCAAATATTAATTTCTTAAGACTTGGGATATTAATTCATGTTTCTTTGTTCGTGTTACGAGTCGCGCTGCTGAGTTTTAAATAGCTTGTAGTCTTTGAATTTGATAAGACGGAAGACCAAGAAGCAAACTATTACGAACATCAAAATAGCACATAACAAAAGCATGATTAAGGCATTCATTGGTAGTCCGGTTGAAAAGATAAAAATAAAAAAAAGAAGCGAATTTTATCTATTTTGCTGAGTGACAAATACAATTTTCGAACGTGAAGGTATCATCAAAAGTGACCCCTAGATTTCTACATGTTTTGGTTGCATGAACAAGAGTGGAATCTAAATTCAGTACATTGTCAGTCAACATTGCCGGGTTTCTTAATCTGTGGCGCGAAGAAACATGAATAAATTCAGTTTTTATACTTGAGTTTCAAACGATTTACTTGAGCCCACTCTTTGACCGATCGCACACAATTCGATATTTCTGTAGTATCGCCAAAATCACAGTTTCTCTTAAATGCGGTATCGTCTGCACACACAAAAAATCTTATGAATGTTATGGGTATCAATTGCACTTTCTAAAGGTGATTTATAAGAGTAAATAAGATTATAAAGATTATCTTGTCATCAATTTGTGACATTATGCGTATTGCTCTGATACTGAAAATGAATTCCTTTTTAAGATGGAGCTATTTTAATACTTTACTACGATAATATAGTATTTGCATGCTAATATAGTTTCTTTTTCAATCAATGAAACAAATATCATTCTATGAAAAATGATACTAGCTGGAGAAATCAAGAAACAAGTTATACACCCGTGTAGGCATGTATATTGATGTTAACCAACTGAGAGCAAAGAAATTAGTTGAATTACTTTTCAGGGATATTACCAGAATCTAACCTACTGAGCATGAGTAAAAAATAAAACAAGTTTAGGCTGATTATTCATAAAACAGAAACCAAGGAAGCTACAGCGTAATGTAACCGTATATATCGATATAAACAACAAAACTATACTCGGGCTTTAATCATGTTCTAATGTTTCCCGTCCTTTGAAAGGGAAAATTAACCTAGCCATGACCTGCGGAAATCTTGCCCAGTTTATTTTTCTCTCGCTCTTATGATTACCCGAAACCGAAACACAGAAGTATCTAGCATTAAGAATAATTAATAAGATGTCTTTGTAAAATGACACGAAGCCACTTGAGACCAACATTTACCACATATAAGTACTTCCCATAATATAATGTTCCTGCTTGCAGCTACTTGCGCATAATAAAACCCATTGATCACACAATATGGAAATGTCTGATAATGATATCAATCTACGTGTTTCTCACTTGTCAAAAGTACTCAAAATTAATGTGCAAATTAGAAAGCATTATGAAACAATTCAACTAATTGAAAGCTACTAATTATCGTGACTGGACTTGATTATATTCATCAATACATGAAGAACAATAAGAAATATTTCAGGGGTTAAGAGAACTTTATAGAAATATTCATAAGAGCTTTCCCCATATTTTCCTTCAGGTCATATTATCTAACGCTGTATTCGAATTAAAGTAACTATCACAAAGTGTATGATCTGCACGTTTAAGACGGGCGATATTCCATATACATGGTTTTAGTCGCAATCTGATTTTAAAAGAAGTAATAACAACAAAAAGCAAAGTCAAATTAATAAAAGTTACAAGAGAGAAGGAAAACAGACAGGTGAGAACGGCTGTGCGTGGGTGTGTGTATGTGAGTGTGCGCGTGAGTTTGGACTTAATTGTGTGTGTGTATGTGTGGGGGAAGTAGTTACAACTTCACTGTACTGATTCCTATTAGAAAGACGTGACAGATATTGTGCATAATTATAATGATAGGTAAGTTTACTGTAATGCTACTCTACTATTTAACTTGACGGAAGTACGTATGTGAATATGTATTATATGCAAGTTTGCAGTCTCCTATCTCTTATGAACATAGTTGCGATTGATATTAATCACAAATAAGTTGCGATTAATATCAACTTTTTGTAAGACGGGGCCCAGAACAAACATTAAAATAATGTCATTTAGTTGAGCTTCAGTGATATTACTATTTATGAGAAACAAGTGCATATTATGTTGAAATTAAATACACCAATTACAGTTACTATAATAAGTTTGAAGACTTTTAACATACAGATCTGTTTGAGTTCGTTATGCACGTATTCCATTTAATGTTATCTACTTTAAAGAAGCATGAAGTCATTAATATCAAAATGAATGAGGCGATAAAAGTAAAACAATATTTTAGTATTAAAAAAAATGTTTAAACAATGTTTAGTGTAAATGTTAGAACGTTTTGGAAAGCTGAGTTCTGGTGGAAGTGCAAAGAGGCAATGGGGAACGCAAACTTCGGAACTTATTCCCGCCCAATTTTTAGATAATCAATGTGGCAAAATGTGGAAGTACGATCCTTTGTTGTAAAATCTCATTTTCCCGCCTTGGCCTGATTCCATCTCAGCACATACACAAAGTGGGCGTGGTCTATAATGTATGGGTTGCATTATGCCCAGGGCAATGAATGTAGACTTCATTGACCTCTTAAAGTAGCCTCTCATAATGACCTTAATTGACCCTGATAATGTGTACGTGAGAATGTTCCAATATGATGACCATTTCGTTTGTGTTTTTCTTTAGCTGAAAGTCCAGTTTCCCACAATCATGATGCTGTGAACGTGATGCTGTGAAGGTCAATCGATTCCATTTCAAGTAAACAAAATGGCCTCTTTATTGTCATGATTGGTCAGACTATGAATTGAAATGAATCGGACAAAATGTGATGTGTGTGCTATAGACATTAACCTCGCCTGCATAAACGAATGGTCAGGGAAAATTGATTCAATTCTTGTCTTTGGGTCAGTGCGCAATAAACTGAACTTTTTTTTCTTTGCTTCACAGCTCTTTCAATAGACGCAAAATGATCCGTAACATAATCTTTGAATGCTTTTATTCTGTTTCCATTGACCAATGTCCATGAGAGTTTTTTTTCAGACAGTGAAATATAACAAACCTAATTAACTTGCTCTAATTCCCCGACATCTTTTGCGGTACCTGGGACTGTACTTACAGAGGTTGTGAAACAAACATGAATCCGTACCAGTGCAGCACGAATGACCGTAGATTTACAAACAAAAATTAATATTTTAAAGAGGAAGTATCCATCCAGCGGGAAAGACACTATTGGTAATGAAAAGAAATCACACATTAGACAAAGAATGTCGGGTGCTTTGAGCTAAGATTTATAGCTTTTATCGCAGATAAAGCTGAAAAATCCTTACGCCCAAACCTGAAAACATAACAATATATAAAAAATGAAGATAAACAAAATGAAGAAAAAAATAAACAAGCAAAACTGTACAAACAAAGTCATTGTCATGCGCTCCAAAGAATGCTACTCTGAATTCGTGGTGAAGCCATTGATATATTGATCAATTATTATTCGTATAATATCATAATATACTTGGCGGAAAGGAGACATATGACATTAAAGGTAATACAAAGTTTTGGTACGGGGTCATGGATTTGGTCCAAATGAACATATTGGAAGCATTATGCGATCCTACAATATTCAGTGATCGTTGTCGCGGTTGAAATCGAGTCTTAAGTTATGAAATTGTAAATAATAATCTCTTTATGCTGTAAAGCTCCCTCTCAAGGTCAAGATAATAATTAAGCTATAAAAAAATATTTCTTGACTAAAATCGACCGATTAGCTATTCCCGTTTGGAAATTATATTTCACAACTCCATATTCTGAGATTTTCATGGTCGGAGCTACCATTGTACGGCCGTAGGCGCTATTTGAAATTTATCAAGATTTACCGGGAGCACCGGTAAATTTTTATATTCAGTTTTTCTCGAAAGCAGAAGTGTTTTAGGTGCTAAATTTTCTAGTGCTTATAATACATCCACAGGGGCATCCAAATATATCAAAATTGTAAAGAATCATTATCAATTTTCAAAATTTCCCAAAACTTTGTATTACCTTTAAGGCACCCCCTTACCATCACTATCTTTGCCTCCTGCTCCTTATCCTCATCGTCATATTTATCACTCCTGTCAATATCATCAACGTCAACACTCCCAACAAAACATTCAGTCTCTTATTTCATCACGATGTCCAAATAATCAAATATAACTATCAATTATTCAAGTTGTTCCTCTCCTACACTATCACAACATGATTATTCCACATTCCACGTGATTATCAATCAACGAGGAAGCTCTTGGTCAGGCCATGAAAGAAAAGAAATGAATATACCACAATCCCTTTGAAATTGCACTTTCTATAAAGCCCTCTTTATATTCATGATACACACGGTTTTCACGACAGTGTGAAAGGAAAGAGTCAAGCATGTCTTTGGTCCAATGCATCAATATTGCTATTTGATTAGTAAAGGCAGGGAGGTACCCTGGTAAAGGTCACTTTTTTAGTATACATGTAGGTAGAAAAACATGAAATTGTTAAGTATACAGTTAGATACAAAACTTTGGCTTATATATTTTATATATATATAAAAAGCATGAACCAACTGCCGTTATGAAGATGTTTAAAATAAATCTCACACATTTATCATATTGTTCTCAAATATATCTGATACTCCGCTTATGGATACATTTCAGACTTTAAAAGAATTACACTCATAAACAAATATTTCTATTTATATATATCATATATATTTTCATACAAATATTGCTATATCATGTCACATTATATTCTGTATGTACAATATGAAGAAAATAGCATCGATATCTGTTTTACATAAAATTCAGAAATCTAATATGTAAGCAAGTTGCAAATATCTTAAATGAATATCTTAAGAAACAGTGTGTAATAACAAATTATATATTTTCATGTAGAATATTTTCATAAACAATTTATAATTATCTTACAGAATACATTGATAAAACAGAATGTTGAATATACATACAATTTAAAGTGACATTCTTTTGGTTTTGTAACCAAGTTTTTTTTCATATTTTTACCTATTTACAATTTGTATATATTTGAATGCCCAAAGTGCAAATTCTTTTCATAGAAGTAATATTGCAGGTATTTACTTTACAAAAATTGCAATGGAATAAGCAACATACAAGTTACTGATTATAAGTTAGCAAAAACTCTAAAGTCATAAACTCTTTTCATATAACAACACTTCTGGTTAAATGTGAGGTTTTTTATAATACAAGTCAATGTATTACAAAATCAACTGAGATTTGTTGATAAGAGAACGTAAAATAATTACGAACAATTTTAAAGTAAGCAGAAGAAAACATGTATTTAAATATAACCAAATGTTAATAATTCTAATGCATTTGGCCAAGTTATTCTTTAAATATGGCTGACATATCTATTAAAAGTGCATATATTCAAACTTAATTCCACTTTTTACATCGTTTCATTAATCCTTTATCAAAATATTGCAAAACTCATCAGCCTGTATATTACAGTGGTGTCCACTTCATTTCTTCATTTCTTTAATGACAAAATGACGCCCATTAAATAAAATCCAAATATAAGGAGGATACAGTGACACAAGATATTTTAGGTTAAAAATGCACCCCAAAAAACATTCTAATTTGATTTGATATATATATTTGTTGTGTTAAAGTTAGGGTAATAACAAAAGAGCGCCAACAGTAGCAATGTGCCAGGCGTGTGCGAGACTCCATTGTTATTATTATTACTATTAATATAATTATTACCATTAAGGATCTGATAAGGTATGATGGTAAAGTTCTGTGGATGCATTGATGGCATTGGCATCCCTTGCAGGATCCAATGTACATCATGCAAAGGGATCAACAGAGGAAGATTTGGTAGGATCAAGTATCAGAAGTTCTTCAAGTCACTGCAATTACTCTGATGATATCCGGGACATGTGGGAGCAGGTTTTGGAAGGGATCTTGGTGGAAGTTCTCTAGGCCAGTCGACAATGATTAATAAATGAGGGAATCAGGGGAATCAATAGCAGAAGATCTTGTAGGTCTGACAGTGGAAGTTCTCTAGGAGACAGCATTCAGCTCCAAAGAGACCCTGCACAGAAGGTGTTGGAAGGGATGGTGGTAGAAAACCTTTAAGAGCGTTGACAGCGGTAAGCCCTGATGACATCCCTGATAGGTGCCCTGCACATAGGGCAGTGTGACCCCATGGTGGAGAGACGCAGACCACAGGTCATACACACACACATGTGACCACACTGGTAAAGGACTGAATCCACCTCTTTGTCCAGGCAGATGATACAGTTACCCTCGGAAGCTGGATCTGAGAGCGGAGCAGTAGGAGAAGCAGTAGTACCTGAGAGGATTCAAGAATGATGCAGATGGTACGTTAGAAGACTGTTTTTCATTTTGGGTTTTTTCATTTTTGGCTTATCGTCTGAGGTTCCTTAGAAGGTAAATCATGTTCTCATAAGCAATCAAGGATTATGACACTTTCCAAGAATACTACATGAAATGCAAAGAAGAGGTTGTGAATCCAGAATCTTCCTCTTCGAAAACCCTTAATCTAATGATTCTCCACATCTTAACATACAATCCTTGAACATTCAGAATCGTTTAAGTCTTTGATAAGAATATCAGCTTTTAACAATCTCTTCCCCCAAATATATAAAGGGTCTAAAAGAGCTTGATTCAACCAAGTAATATTAAAAAGTCTTCCAAAATCTATTTCCCTTTATCAAATTCCAAATAGGAACAACTTCCCAGACTTTGTGACATGATATTATTCAGGGTGTTTTTGGTTGAGGGCTTCCTACCAACTCAAAGCCGGGATGGAAGACTACACCTACCATTCTGCTGATGAAGAGCAGCAGCTACCTCCTGCCTGATGGCCCTCTGAAGATCTAGCTGCATCTCCATACTCATCCGTACCATCTCATGAAGCTCAGACATCTTAGATTTCAAGCTATCCATCTCATGCATCTGAACAAATAAAGGGGCAAAAGGTGGATAAAAATTATCAACTGATTACCTGAAAATGACTACTCAAACCCTGTAAATTCTTAAATTTTAAACCACCCAAATGTTGTAACTGTGTTTCATTAAAGGGAAAGTCCACCCCCAAAATAAGTTTGTTTCGATAGAGGCAGAATAATAAGAAAATCAGGTGAGTGAAAGTTTGAGCAAATTCTGAATGAAAATAAGAAAGTTATGAATTATTGAAGTTGTGATCAATCAAATACAAATTGGCAACTCTGTGACTTATTATACGAGCTCTCCTTCATTTGCTTTGTGCATAATATTCCATAAAATCATGTTTTCTTCGTTATTGATGACGGAATATATATTTGTTCCTTGCAGGGGGAGTATAGAAACATATTTGCAATTATTATATTTAGGGTGCATGTATGGTTGAAATTTTTCTTGAGGGAAAATGAAAATTTGAGATTTTTTTAGTACTGAGCAAATGGAAGTTGAGCTCGCATGATACGTCATAGAGTTGCCAATTTGTGTTTGATTGATCACAACTTCAAAAATCCTAACTTCCTTATTTTTAATCGGAATTTGCTCAAACTTTCACTGACTTGTTTCTCTCATTTTTCTACTCCTATTAAAACTAACTTAATTTCAGGGTGGACTTCCCCTTTAATCGGGACAAATAAAAACTTGTTAGTCTCCAGGATAATTTTGATATCATGTACATCTGCCTCAGTCAATCCTCAAGATTCTTGCAGACTTTTCTGTCATCATTCAGGGGCAGAAAGTGCAATATTTTGAGTTTATACCATACACTTTTATGAAGAATGATTTAAGCACATGAGAAATCAATCTCATTCAAATCCATATTTGGTATTAACAAATTACTGCATAAAATGTGAACTATGATATCATGACATGATGTTTGTATTAAATTGAATAACCTGAATAAGTCACTGTCATTAAACACTAAATCTAAGGGTTAACACGTTCCTAATGGAATTAAAAGTGTTGTGTTGTGTATAAATCTGTCTCAAAATGATTCAAAAACTCTTACAAGTTAAGTTTTTCCCTTGTATTTGTTGATTCATTTGTATAAACAAAACTGTACATAATTAATTAGAGGGGATTCAAACATGATCATGACGCATTGTTCTAATGCATGAATAGTATGCATAAAGATAGAAATACAAAAGGAGACCTCTACATTCAACCAACATTGGTCAGCAAAACATTTAATTTGTAATCTTACAGAAGACACATCCAACGCTTCATTTTTCTCTCTACTCGCAAAGTGACCTTCAAACGTGGAATATTTGTGAGAGAGATCTCACACCACCCATCATTTTACATACACCCGCACCAGGGTCGACCCATTAGGCATATCTATTATTCAAATATTGCAAGCGTGTTTGCGAGCATTGTCCACTATTTATGATACATTGGTAGAGGTATACATTGAATTGAATGGTGCATGGATAATGAAAAAATTGGGCCTATACAAAATGACCGGTACAAACAACACAATATGCCCATGGCGTTTTATACATGCAGAGTACAGTGTAGCTCCTGCTATGTTGTTATGCACATACTCAAAAGACCAAACCACCTTGACTAGAAATAGTTGATTGGTGCGGAATTGATTGGTCACGGTGGAATATTTTGTATTTAATTCTTTTTAATATGATATACATCTAGCTATTTAGTGTATAACGCGACATGTATATGTATACTGCCCATTGCAGAATTTTCTTCAGTAATTTGTTTGAGTTTTTAAACAGTTTGTAAATTATTATCAAGGAAATAAAAATGGTGTACCAATGCAAGGTGAATTGAGCCTAAATTAAAGTTGTTACCATACTTTTATTTCTAAATTATTTTCAGGTTATGCCATTAAAGATTTCATTGGTGGCAAAAACCTCAAGGAATGTATTTGAAAATATATGTCTCGTTATGATATATTAATCTATGATTGTCAATACCCCAATACAAATACATGTACATTCTTGAAAACTATTTTTCCTTTTTCAAACAATGCTAAACAAAACTTTATAGTGATTTTCTTAAACCTTTAAAGATGTTTTTTAATGGAGATTGATAAAAACTCAACTCTACTTTCAAGAATTCTTTAAATTGTTATTGTTAATAAAACTTTGATCCAACTGTATATTGTAAGAATTTAACATCTAGTATTGGAGTACCAAATCATATACCCAATGTGGAAGTAGGTATGAGGGGTAATTGAGAGCCCTCATTCACCTGTCTGTGTGTTCTAAGAGGGCCTCTTTCTTGTAACCCCCGGTGTGAAGTGGGTCAAAGAGGGTAACATGGACACCCCCTTATAATCCTCTCCATTACCCTCCAGGCAGGTACACTCAACTTGACCACGACCTTTCTCTACCGGGCATGATGAAGCATGCCAAATATGATTGGGGAATGGACGATAAGACAGGATTCAGACTCCTTTCAGTCAGGCTCTCTTTTCTCTCTCTCTGTCTTCGTATTTCTCTCTCTATCTCTGTTGGTCTATCTCTATCTCTATCTTTCTGTTTATTTATCTTTCTTTCTTTCTATCTATCTACGTGTCTGTCTGTGTCCCTCCCCTTTTCTCCTATTTCTCTCCTTTGCATATGAATATGCAAGAATTTCCATCTATCATTCTCTACAGTAGTCCCTATCTTTCTTTGTTTTCCCTTGGTCTCTGTTTTCCTTTTCTCTCTATCACTGTCCATCTATCCTTCTTTCTCTACTAAACTCCCTCTATGTCCCTCCACTTCTCTTCCTCTCCCTCTCTTCCCTCTATTACTTCCATCCTTTTTCCTATCTCATTCGCTATAACACGATTACAAATTGTATAAATTATGAGTTAACCTTTTGAATGCATTACTTCATATTGCCTACAAAGTTCAACCTACATTGCAGTTGTTTTCTTACTCTTTTCCAATGCTTAATCCAGAGAAATTATTGATTTGTGTATCATTTCAAAGTCAGTATAAGGCCTATCCTAAGCTCAATGATTCGTACCTTTCATATTTTTTTAAAATCCCTTTTCATTCCCAACATAATATATAAATCATATTGACCATTTATTTGAAATAAGAGTGAAGCTCAACTATTTTTAGGAGTTAATAAAGTTTCTAGATTTTTTTCTCCAAAGAAACTATTTTCTATTACTTTGAAGAGTTATATGCACATTAGCAAGTAGGGTATAGAAAAGTAAAATTCCGTTGAGCATATAGCATCATGATTATGATCATTATCTGAATCATGACCTGACCCTAAGCGTTAGAAGCAATTAAATGACATGCCTTTATGTTTAATCCAAAAAGGAAACACGTTGTCTACATGGAAATTACATTTGACCACGGAATAACAAAAAAATAACAAAAGAACCTGAAGGCATGGTCAGTGCATTAGTCTAGCCAATGGTCAAGAAAGTACATCAGTCTGGAGTTTAAGGACTAAGCCTTGACCTGCCCTCATATTTTTAGACCTTTTGAAAGAGAAGGGAAAAAGTTGGAGAGGAAGGGAGTGTAATGGAGAGAGGGGAGGGAAAAAAAAGTTTGGTACATCATCCTGTAGAATGACTAAATGCCATGACCTGCCCTGGTTCACTATGCTATTGTTGGAGGCTAAATTCTGAAATGTTTTTGTGCCCCTTTTCATGAGTTCACAGGACAGAAAGAGGCATGCTTGTCCCAAAATATATTTTTCCTAATCTAGGAACTTTTAAAGTTTAATAGTGGCACTTGGACATAACATCTGTCATTAATATTTCATTAATATTACTACTATCATGGGTACAAATTGTATTATTCCACCCCCAGACCTACTGTATAGGGTTTGCAAAGTATATATATATATACTACATCACATATAAACACACACTCACACACACGCACACACACACACACACACACACTCTCACATATAATCTTTGTTTTCGCTACGCTAATTACCGGTAATAGTTTTATCAAAATTATTTGTTAGGACTTATCTAATTGTTTCAAAACTGTTATTTCTTTAATCCTCATCTCCAAATCATTGAGAAACAGGGTACATGAAGGATGGGTCCTATTCTTCATTCTTAGGATCAAATTTGGTGATGAATCATCCAATGACAGGTTGTTTATGAAGATTTCTTAAACTCCTCACTTGAATACAAGTTCAACTTTCAAACGTGAAAGAGGTTATTTGTATTTTAATCAGGTCATGTCCATAGAGAGTGTCATATTACTAGTGTTGAGGATATGGGATGAGCTGGCCATTACTGCTGATACATTCATACCGCAATCTGACCTTCGCTCTCAACTCAACACGACCTAACTGTACTTCACAGGTCATCTTTATTATTCCTCATTCAAGATATGTTCACACAAGCTTGTCATAGTTTGGAACGTTAAGTTTGCAAAACCTCAAAGTTTCAAACGATGATCCCCTAACAACAAGGGTTGACACTGTAGGGAAACAACAATGTTCAAAGTTTTAAAATGCAAGCTATAGGCAAGCAGCTATTGTAACTACATGCTGGGCTAATCCCTGTAGCCTATAGTTATCGCGCTAACCACAAGATCTCTCATAGTTTATAACTTTTCGAGTGCCTGTACTTTGGTCACTACAAGATATACTTGAAGTGTAAAACCATGGTTTAACACTTTAAGTTTATGGACTCTCGTGTGAATCTAACTAATGAGTTCAGACTGTGGAGCGTAACCCTCATGAAAGAATACAAGTGGACAGCACAGAAATTTTAGGGCAATGCATTTCCACAGGATACACAAATATCCTTTATGAAAGTGTCCATGAGGCCAAACATGCTTGAGTGAGTTCAGCGATTCACTTTGTTACTGCCTGATAAACATATATGCACTCCTATTCCCATGTCCATTGTCTTGTTCTGGGGATGAATGACTCCAAATGGAGTGATTCAAGTTAGAAATATTTGACCTACATGCATCAATAGGTGAAATGCTTATTTCATAGTTCTACGTTTACTACATTATTTGGTGGATTGTCGTTTGGTCTACACCCAGCCTGTCTACTATCTACGTGGTCCCATAATCATTTCATCTACTCATCATTTAGGCTATAAGTCATTTGGTCTATCACTCATGTGTAATAATTGCGAGTCAGTTTAACTCCCAGTTTTGTCTGTTAACCGTTTTGTATACCATCCATCATTCAATAATCTGTTAATCATAAGAATGATAATCATCAAATGATCATTAGACCTGGTGGATAGTAGACAAAAGGGGTATTAGACAAACTGGGAATTAGACTTGCAGGCAATTACACCAAACAGCTATATACACATTATTCAATGTACCAGGGGAAAATAATCATCCACCTTTAACTATTGTATCAATTGAGGGGGCTAGACTACTTTAGTTTATAGGGAGCTCTCTCTCTCTCTCTCTCTCTCTCTCTCTCTCCTCCCTCCCTCCCCCTCCAGCTCTCTCTCTCTCTCTCTCTCTCTCTCTCTCTCTTCATGTACTTCCACTTCCTTCTGTGTGTAGTTCTTGTGATCCTAACAAGAGAGGGGGCTATGACAGTTTGGGTTGCTTTGAACTGAGCTTTCACAAACCAGTGGCTGTCTTCATTGACTTTGGGCTACATAAAATAACACTGTGTATCGTTGCACTTTGATTTCAAATACAACCCTACCAATAGAGGGGGCTAGAACAGTTTAGTTTCCTTTCAATACAGAACATCTTCCTGATGCCTTCTGCTTTCAGATGTTCACATATTTCAACTACTTGACAAGTCCTGCAATGTGACAGGGCTTGAATAGTTTCACCTTTTTAACTCTTGTGTGATGTCAACTTTTAAAGTGGAACTGCACTACTTGTAGCTTCTTGCGCCCTCTATATAGAAAACAATGCCTAAGTGGTATCCGTTGGTTCCCCATGATCCCTTTTTCTTATGTTAATTGAGAGCTGATTTGATGAGATAGCCACCTGCCAGTGACCATGCAGGAGGTCTAATCCCTCCGGGCCAAACTAGTGCAGACAGGCTTTAAAACATGTATCCAAACTTAAGTTTCACGAGGCCAATTTAAATTAGCAGTTTTCTTTCCATTGAAGATCTTGAGAGTGTTCCATATTATCTCACTTCACAATTGTTAAACCCATTTTTCAATTTAAGAAGAGAAGCAAGCCTTAGTCGACCCCCCCCCCCTTCACAAAAAAAAATCCCATGCAATATTGAGATGTGGGCCATTCCTGACTGCAAAACTCATCATCCAAGCACTCTCTCTCTCTCTTTCTCTCAATCATCTTAAATTCATTGTTACTTACGAAAGCAGCAGGGACTGCAGCGCCCCCTACAGCTCCGGACTGTGCACCATCCTGCTGTGAAGATGGTACATGGATACCGAGATGAGAGAAATCGTTGCGACGGATGTGCTGGCTCTGAGGGATAGTGTTGATAAAGTTCATGACCCGCTCGCCGCTCTCCGGTCCGATAGTCTCTAAACGATTCTAAACGTGAAAAACAGGAAAAACATTCCCTTCAAAAATGAAACTTTTGCAGTCAACATTATTAATTTTGTTATGCTCTTCAAGTGAGTACATCGATTAGCAGGGGATCCTTGAAAAAGATCAATACCTACAGATGATCATCCCTGAGATTTGTAAATCAGTGTTTGCCAGATTTAGAGGAGGAAGGGGGGTGGGGGGGGGGGTGGTGGAAAGCGTGTACTTTAAGTGCACCAAAGAAAAAAAGACTGATCTCACCCATTTTCAATGTAGATGTTTTTTGTAAATTGCACTCCTTTTACTAAAAACTGGATCTGACCCTGTATCAATCAAATTATTTTAACAACCAATGTATAGATAAATCATAAAAGGACTTTAACAATTCTTCGTAAAAGCATTTTTGAGAGGGGTTTGAATCTCTGCTTACCATCATCAGGAATTCTAGGCGTCCTCTGAAGTCACTCTCCAGAGTCTCATGGACCAGCTGACGATGGACTAACTCACTGATCTCAGAGACCACAGCTTCCCTGTGGACCTGCTGTAGGACCTGGGCTCGGTCAGCAGGACCCTGGTTCCCATTCAGACTGTGAGAAATCATAGAAAAGAGTTTCAAACTTACTCAATATTTTCATGAAAATATACAGGATGAAGGAACCAGGAGGTATTCACCCCCTCCCCACTCCCCCTTCCCCACTTCCCTGCAACCCTGTTAAACTTGACAACTTTTGTTTATAATTTGCAACAAACTTCCTTGTGCCTCCAGAAATTATCCTTGGTCTGGCACTGATAATTGAAATTAAAATTTTTAAGTCATGATTATTAATAAAATATGTGAAACTGAAATGAATATCATGCTGTCCGTTGAATCATCAATCGGATAGATGACAGGGCTTTTGTGTATTACTGCCCAAAAGACTAGAAACTCCTTACAGTACATGTATGTATCATTGATTATAAATTTGTTTATCATTGTAATTTTGCTCAAATCTATCTGTATTTGATATTATTTCTGGTTATGAACATTATGAACGATGTACTTTATGAACAGGTGCTTTACAGTGAAAAGTAATTTTATCACTACTTACAAACCTCATCTTCAACTTCTTACAATTTTTTTTCTTGTCTCTACATTATTTTTGACCATCTAATTTTTCATGTATTTTAAAAAGTTTATCATATCTTTTACCAACATTTCTAAAATCCAAATCAATAGAAATAGTTGTCAATAAAATGATGTAAAGGTAAATGCACAATTCACATCCCTAAACTTGAAACTGGATCATTTTGAACCCTCACCTGTTCTGGACCAGCCATGGGGCTGTAGGCAGCGGCCATCTGTTGGCTTGCTGGGGCTGTGGTGGTGGTGGTGGAGGTGGTTGAACAGGTGCAACTTGTGGTAGGTGTTGCTGGGGTTGCTGGAATGCGGGTGGGGCTGGAAGGTGGTGCTGGCCCCCTAGTGGAGGTAGGGGTGGTGCAACCTGTGGAATCAAACAGAGGGGGTTAATAGTATTATTTAACAAGGTTTTATGATCTCCAGTGTAGACATACTTCAGAAATGCTCACAATGTTCAAGCATTGCCTTGTATAATACAAAAAGCATAATGTATAAAAGCAACAAAATCAATGACTTCATCAATGAAGATGATTTTATGATATCATTTATAGTTTTAAACCACCCCAAAACCATGTTTCTACGCAATAACTATGTTTGCCATCTGACCTGTCCCAATATATATTATTCAAATTGTCTTCAACTCATAGCATGTATACAGCCATTTAAGTTCTGTAATATTTTGAATTCATTGAGAGTGGGGGATAAAGTGAAGGAAAAGTAGACATCGGGGCAAACAGAAAGACAGATATGGAAAGCGAGACTTAAAGAAATAGGGGAAGAGAATTTGAGGATTGGCTTCGAGAAAGAGGAAGATGCATTGAGAAAAATGAACAAGGCGGAGAGAATATGGAGGGAGAGATAGAGAGAGAGGATGAAAGACAAAGAGGGGAGAGAGAGAGGGAGAGAAAAAGAAATAGAGACAGAGAGGGGAAAGAGAGAGAAAGAGAGAGAGAGAGAGAGTGAGGGGCTAGAGGGAGGGCGAGATATATATATATATATATAATTATGTATACCGTATATATATATAGAGAGAGAGAGAGAGATAGGGGGAAGGAGGCACCGAACAGATAGAGAAGGGAAATAATAGCTGAGTAGACTAGAAAAGACAAGTATGGTAAGATATGAGAGTCTGCCAACAATTTGTATACACTATCCTTTTGTAGGGCCCCCTTTAGTGTAAGCAAATCCTGACATTGTTTGTAAGGGTGTTTAGTCATCTGTCTGTTATTTCCTACTTGTATTGAAAGTTCAAACCTACATATTCAACAAGTATGCATGGGTTTCCCTGTGTTAAAGGATACCTGTCTACCACACACACAAGTAACCAAGCTGTTGTCAAAACGCTCTAATGTCACTATCTTAACACAAGGTGCGTCCGGACTAACAGGATTTATAACAAGATGTGTCATAGCCTAAACCCCTAACAAAAATGAAAACTCAAGTTTGATCGATTGTAGCTCTCTTATTATGGCATAATCATTGCTTTGATTATTATCATTAGGAAGTATGTTTATTCTTCTTTAAAGGGAAACCATATTTGCAAGTTCCACGGAGTGAGCAGTATATCAGAATAAGGAGCAGAGTCAATACCGGTAGTGAAAAAAAAAAAAAAAATCCTAGTTTCTAAAGATTTTACTGAGGCACTGATTTTACTTGTAGTCACTGAAAATTGTGAATCCCCCCCCTCTCTCCCTCTCTATCTCATCATATTTTCATCAGTCTGTACTCTGAACTTTAATTCCTTATTTATAGCCGCTTACAGTCATAAAACAACAAAAGTGATAAGAGTTAAGGTCAAATTCAGTTATCTACCTTAAATGTATACAAGGAAGTACAAATTAAATAGGCCTACATGTATATCTCCCTTCAGGGTCATCTATGTAAAAGCATGTTATATATTTTCTAAAAACCCTAAATATAATATGGTACTTAACTGCCATGAATCTACTCAAGAACATGACATGATCCCCCCAATCCTTGTCACGATAAGTAAAATACTAAAGCTGTATGTACAATCTGTCATCGAGATATGGGTGCTATCTTAGGAGCATTACAACACGTATACAAAGTGTTGCGCAAGGCATGAGTCATAACAATTGCTACTACATGTTTGTCACAACGCCAGGATGTTGACATTCATATTGCATTAACTAAGCCTAGGAGGGTAAAGTGGGAATAGTGTTGTTTGATTCTTTAAACTCCTACGTAGGTGAATTGAATTTCCTCTGTCAGTCTGTTTGTCATTCTCTATGGAAGGATCCCCATGGAAATAAGTTGAACAGCCTCAAAGCATTTTGTTTTGCTATACATTTTAGTACTGTTAATGATACTTAATGCATCAATAATTAGAGAAAGAATGTATGTGCATCCCTCTAGAAAATCCTATATAAATATATTTACATGAATACATATAAAATGAATGTGAAAACCCCCAAAATGGCATAAAAGCCTTTTAAAAAATTTGGTTTATGAATATACATGTATATATTACATACACACATATATAAACATTTGCATATTGAAGAGAGGTCTAAAGTACGATCATTATTAACAATCAATCCTCTTTTCAGAGAATGTCTAATAATTTGTTGTCATCCAGTTAAGAAGTATGGTCTCCGCAATTTTTAAGTAAGGATATTATCAAAAATAAGGTGGGTGGGTGGGTTAGTTAGAACTATATTTTTAAATGGTATAATAATTGACATCTAAAGAAAAATACTGACTTTTACAGGGCCATTTCTCCCTTGACCCCTATATGTGTTGAGCTGTCTGTTCAGATGAAGTGTTACTTACCGGAATAGCATTGAGTCCTAATGTAGACACTGATGGAAGGAGAGAATGGCCACTAGAGATTGATGATACCCCACTGACATGGCTTCCGGTATCCACTCGACTCGCTTCACCTGCAAGAGGGAGGGGCCTGTTACCAGGGAGACCAGCTACACGCAACCTCAGCACGGCCTCGACCTCTCTCTCTTGCCTCACGACGACCCCTCGCACCATGTTCTCCAGGTCACGACGGAAGGTCGGGCACTGGAGACGCTGAGTGACGGACCGTTGCCGTGACAACCCCTCCAGCTCCTGCACAACCATACCATTCCGCCTCCTTCTTCTCGGAGACTGGTGGTTGCCCTCGTTGGAGCCCTCGCTGGTGGAGTCCGAGACTTCTCCATTGAGATGGAGTCGAAGGAAGCGATCAATATTTCGTCGCTGGTCTCCTTTGCTTACTGGGCGATGGCTGTCCTGGATCTGGCGTAGCTCATGCATCAGCTCCCTAGGGAAGAAAGTTGTTGAAAATTAAATATTTTCATACTTCGTTCTTGAAAGAAAAGGTAAGAGCAATTTGATTTAACAAAAATAAGCTAAAAAATGATTAGATCTGTTTATGAGAGTCATTTGTTTAATCATTATGTAAGGCGCAACTCTTAAGTTAAAGTTCTTATATTTTTAAAATGATTTTCAATTCACTTTAATTAATTTGTTTCTCTTTAAGTAGAAATATTTGATGGTGATGCGCGTACTACTACCCATTTCATCTACGATGATGATCTCACTATATTGTAGAGGTAACAAAATTGTGATCAGGGCCCTGTCTTATATAAAGATTTGATGTTAATTGCAACTTATTTGAGATTGATATCAAGCGCAACTATGTACATAGGAGACAGGGGACTGCAAACTGGCGATTGGTTGGAGGACTTGCGATTGATTTGGATCAATCGCAACTCATCATCATCATCATCTTTCACCCTTCTCTGATCCCTACCCCCTATCCTCTCTCTCTCTCTCTCTCTCTCTCACACACTTTTGTCATTGTCTGATTTATAAATACCTGCGTTGATTTATGAAAAGCTTATCTATGTAATCCTGTTGTCCATTTCCATTTCCACTTGCTTGTATTTCTTCAGTCGAGCTATCCAAGGAGTTACTCCTTGAGCTATCCAAATCACTCAGTTTGGCTGCAGCGGCTGCTATCTCACTGGCCCCCAGGGGGCTCTCTGCCGTGGCCGCCCTGGAACTAGAGGCCTCAGCTGCTTTGGGGTCCACATTTTCCGGGGAGGATTCCCTGGCCAAATCTGTCTCCTCGACGGTCCTGGAAACACGGCGAATTCGCTTGCTAGCACGTCGAAACAGCTTCCTTGCAGACTGCATGATTGTTTAATAATACCTTTCTATAATCTAAATCAACATCAAAGGATGAAAAATGCAATTCAACACCGTCTTTCTCGAAACACAGCAGTAAACGTACCGTGCTTTCCGCATACGATTACACGCCTTTATATACCTCTCGCCACACAAAATACGGTAGGTTGATGTAATGAACTAAAAATAGATTAGGGGATGTTCCAAGCTGTGGACAGGTCGTGTTTTGATTGGTTGAATCACTGGGAAGTACCATTACATCATCGTTATAATTTTCGGCGCGCGGATTAGCTCCATTGACAACGCAACGTGCCAGACAAGGCGAGCAGATAAAATCAATAACAAGCTACATGTATATACCCAGTACCGGAATTTAAAAATTATGTGGTACGAACAGTATTCTCTGGTCTCAGTATTGGTAGTCAGTGGATTTGGGAATATCAATGTTACTATAGATTATTACTTCTTCTCTCTTCATAAATTTCTTGATTCCTACCCTTCATTAGGATCTTTCCTCTTTTCTACATTTTTCAAATCAACATTTCTTTCTCATGATTCTTTTTTCCCCCAAGGTGGTTTAAATAATAGTTCTTATGAAGAGAGGGAAAGGAGGAGGAGGAGGAGTAGGGGCGAGGGGCGGGAGAATAGAATATATTTAGAGGCGTTGCTTGGAAGTATGGCACATTAAACTGAAGAAATATATGTTTGTCGGCATTTTTCATGGGGTGAGGGAGTCTTCAAATCACATTTTAATCAGATTCATAGTGTTCGAGCAACACTTCTATAGCTGTAAAATTAACACCAAAGATTTTGATGTGCAATGTGATTACATCTGAGAACAACGTGAAACGGATTTATTCTCAGACATTATGTAAGAGAAAGAAAAACAACTATTATGTAATGAAAATGCTGTTAGCTGCATAATACGCCCTTTGTTCACTCATGATAAACACATGCACATAATATACCTCAAGATATAAAATCTAGTCCATCAATCAACGTTTGGAAAAGGAGATATAAATAATTTTTAATCCAACAAAATAAATGAAGATTGATTCTGTACACGGTCTGGTATTTGTTTTGTTTTTGTCCCCCCCCCCCCCCCCCCCTCTCTATTTAGTTTTTTTTTTTTTTTTTTTAATCACCTTTCCAAACAACAATATAATACTGTATTATACTTTATCACTATTTTGGTGGCAGCACCAATAAAGCCCTTGGCTTTCCTAGCTGTCTCCACATTCATTAATATTTGTGTTGTTGTATTGTATTGTAAATGTTTCTCTTTAGCTTGTACACTATGTTTTGTATTTTATATGGTTGTTATGTTTTTATGATGAATGAAATAAAGATCAATTCAATTCAAATTCAATTCACATTACGGTGTTTAGAAAGATCTGTCTTTTCGTATTCTTTATTCTTTTGGAAGGAAGACAAATGTGCCGCAAGTGCAAAAAGATTGATAGGCTGGTGTTCAATATACAGACAGACATACCCCTAGGACAACTTCCCCTGTCCCCCTCCCTTCGCTCCGCTAATTGCATGTTTAATATATGAACTTATCTTTTTCAAATAATGTATTCAGTGACTAATATATAATACACGTATGCCTATAGATAACAGAACAATCATAGTTCCATGTTATCGCGAGCACAGGACGAATTAATCACTTTAACCAGGGAGATACTGCTAACCCATACGCGGATACTGACGTATTTCCACAATTTCCTTTCAAACGTCAAATTTCTTTCACCGCGATAAGATTGTCAGATCAGTTGTCACTAAATATTCCAGAAGCGAATCCCCCACTGTACAATAACATACAACAACAAATAACATTAATACAGTTCATACAACGCATTTTATTAATTTGACGTATGATTATTAATGTTTGTGACATACACTCACGTTATTAGAACAATGAGAAGACGTAATGGTTGAAGTGTCCTTATTGTCTGATAATAACGCTTCCATTTAGAAGAAAAGGATTCAAATCTCAGCCCAACACTAACAGCTTTTGGCAAGATAAAAAAAATCCACATTTGCCACTCTCTACCCAGGTGTAAATGGGTATCTGGCAATTGATGGGATAATAATAATTGCAGCCTTTTGCATGGCCCTTAGAGAGATAACAGCACTGATGCTTACGAGGCTTCCATGTGTAAAATAATAATTAGAATTATTGTTATTTTTTAGTATAAAAATTCACCTAAAAAGTAAGCCCCTGTAGTCACGTACTTAAATCGTTATTAAGATAAGTATTAATCACAATAACACTTCATACACGTTCAAAATGTTTAGTTATGATTGTTTCTCTTCAAAAGAGCCGTACCATTTTTTAAATTTAAGCTTTACAAATTTTAGTAAATCAAACCGCAAAATCTCAATACATATATACTACATCCACATTATATCGTGGCATGCATGGAGGCACGTGCCACCAAATCGAATGGCGAGAAAGGGAGAGAGAGAGATAGAAAGGGAGAGAGAGAAAGGGAGAGAAGGAAAGGGGCGGAGGGGAAAGTGAAAAAAAAAATGATAAGACCCCTTCTACTGCATACCCCTAATCAATTATTACCTTATCACCCCCATTATGCCCGTGCCCCATGATGTCTTGACCCCTGTTTATACGCCTATACGTCATACTTTATATTTTTGTATATGCATTTAAAGCAAACAGACAGAATGATGTCATAGTGGCGGAAATAAAAACAAGATTTGGTTTATGCCTTTATTCAGTTCCAGGGTAAAAGTACAAAGTACTAAGTACCTGTTTGAAGAGGGTACGTGCAGACTATATTAACATTTGTAAAATATTAATTTATGAAAGAATTGCAAAGTACTGTGATCGACATGACGTATTCATAGTTAACACAAACAAACAAAAAGACCACCCCCAAAAAACAAAAACAAGACACGCTGTAATCGACGACTAAATTCCTTGACTCATTAAAATTGTGTATTATTATCTTTCTATGTCTTTTTAATCTAGGCCCTGATAAGCTTCACCTTACCCCTATATTTTCAGCTTAATACACGCATGAACCAAACGTTAATGTATAATCCATTTATTCCATTCACATTTTTATGGGGCGATCTTTATATTCAATTTGGTATTTGTATTCTTGGTTATCTTCGTGTTTTTTCCGTCGTGTTATTAAGTTAAATATTGAGGGAGCACATTACAATACATCAATATCACATCCAATCATCACCGTCACAAACGTATGTAGAATATCCTTTAAAAAGAAGAAAAAGAAAAAAAGTCAAAATTAAGAGATCAATGCAAAAAAATATGCTTGGAGAAAATGTGTAAAATAAATACGAGGTCTGTACTTTCCCTAGTATTGTATAAAGATATATTTAGGACAGCAAATACACACAACTGCTCTATTACGTCACCAAAGATCACACAATACCGAAGGTCTACCAGCACAATGGTGTTTGATTAGTAGGGCGAGGTTTGACCAACAATCAAACGATGATGACTCATTCTATATTCTACCAGTGCTCTGTTTTCAATGATCAGGGAAGCGAAAATAAGACAAGTCCTACTTTGCTCATTTTGTAATGATGAGTTTGTGTGTATGTTTTGCCAGCTAGTGGCAGTGGCGTAGCAAGAGGGGGGGGGGGGGGGGCACATGCCCTTGATCAAAATCGGTGAAAAAATATGTATAGAGAGAAGGAGAGAAGGAGAGAGAGAGAGAGAGAGAGAGAGAGAGAGGGTAAAGAGAGAGAGAGAAAGGGGAAGAGAGAGAAGTAGAGCGAGAGGCAGAGAGAGAAGTAGAGAGAGAGAGAGAGGGGGGGGGGGGTAGAGAGAGAGAGAGAAAGAGAGGCGAGAGAGAAAGAGAGAGGGCCGGAGGGAGGAAAGGAAAAGGGTAAAGGGGAAGGTTAACAAATGATGATAGGACCCATTCTAGTATCCTCCCCTAATCGATGGCCTTGGTACTTCACAATGCTCACATTTCATCCACATCTAGTAAGACCGTTACCCCCTCCCCGCCCATGGCATCCCCTCAATAACTATGCCCACCCTATGCCACTGTTTTACACAAAGCAACCATAGAGTGTACCATACTCACACCCACATCTTATTCCCTTTGTATAGAGATCTATTTTTAAAATTTGTTATTGTCATATATTATTATTGATCTATGAAATCATCGTATTGCAAGCCCAGAAACGAGAGTCCAATAAACGTATTGAAAATTGTATTGGCGAGTTGGAGAGAGAAATTTTCAAGTGATGTTCTGGAGAGAAGTTCAGATATAGGTCGAAATTATTGTCCAAGAACAACAGAAGACAGAAGCTAAACGAAGACTCTCAGGGTCAGGAAAGGAGGGGAGGGGGTTGTGGTCGAAATGTTTGAAAACCACGCGCACTCCCTGGGGCTGGAGTTTAATCCGTTAGAAACACCACCCAACTGGTAATCTGCATGGGTTTTAATCCCAAAAAGGCATTTTGTTCTGCACAGGTGCGTGCGTGTGTGTGTGTGCGTGCGTGTGTGCGTGCGTGTGTGTGTGTGTGTGTGTGTGTGTGTGTGTGTGGGGGGGGGTTAAGGGGAAATCCCCCGTAATATTAAGTTGGTTTTTAATAAAAGCAGAGAATGAAGGAAACAAATTAGTGAAAGTTTGAGCAATTTCAAATCAAGGAAATTTATGAATTCTTAAAGTTGTCAGCTGTTAAACACAAATTAACAACACTGTGACGTATTTTGCGAGCTCCTCTCCATATTTGATCTGTACAGAAAGTGTCATAAGCTTTCCTTTTCTTGATCATTGATGACGAAATATATTTGTTTCATGTAGGGGATGTATAAAAACATATTTGCAATGATTATATTAAAGGTGAATGTACGAATACCAGTATTAGATACAGGGCAAATGGGAGGGAAGCTCGCAAGTTACGTCACAGAGTTGCCAATTTTTGATCGATAGATCGCACCTTAAAAGATTCATAACTTTCTTATTTTCAAACTAATTTTTCTCACACTTTTACAGACTCATTACTCTCCTTTCTGCTACTATTAAATCCACTTAATATCAGGGGGACTTTCCTTTTAGTGGTTGCCATTTTGTTTTTTAGCTTAGGTTTAGTGTTAGATATAATGTTTGGACCAAGGTTG